TAACGATTTTCAGATTTCTTCCTTGTTTGCTGTAAGACCCTATTTTGATGAGTGAGTTTGCAAGTATCAAAATATGTGACACAAATGACCGCATCTTTTGATGAATAAATTTTAAAGAATCATCAAAATCGGTTTACAGTATACGAAAATATCGCGTAACATACTTGCGTACAGTGTACAGTTGATTTATGAACCACAAACACTTTAATTTTATTCATATGTACTCGTATGAATAGATAGACACAGTGGTAGTCTCTGGTATAGATAACATTGTTTCAACGCAACATTTATTAATAAAACCGTTAATATAAATGATGACAATTGTTCCAACATTTGACTCAATGCCTCAGCATTACGGAAATTATTAATCCAGGCTTTATATAGCTCCCGTGCCTCCAGGGAGTCCGAAGTTCGGCTCCTTAATTAATGCCCCGGGAAGCCGTAGGTAATGTGAGCTTAACGATTCGTTTTTATTATTGGCCCGCTCATAGGCGCACTGCCGCCACTTCGTTCGCCCAGTTTCAACACTCCTGGTTGCTTTCCTCGTTTTATTGCCCCACTTTACGCCTATTTTCGAGCGTTAAGTGAATACACTAAACAGCACAGTGGGTGTAAGGTTTAGACAGAAGTGTTTAATGGGAAATTATATTTGTTTTCGTTCGCATTAGGGTATAATAAACTGATTTACTCGAACTGCTTATAAATACTGTTTAAGTATGTAATTTAATTAATCAATCAACTTATTTTAATGAACTTTAAATTTAAAAAATAAAGAGGTAAAATTTAAATTAAATCAACCATAAATATATTCCTTATTGTACACTAATACAAAATAAAACGTAAAACAAAATAAACTAAATTATTTAGAAGTCTTATAGCTATCAAAGCGATTTCTTACAGACAAACTTTCTGCGCAAAGAACTGGTGCTTACACGAATGGCAAATTGTGAAGTTGTACAACTAACACACACAATTTAATAGAATTATAGTAACACCGTTCACCGTGTAGTGGCGGTGTTACAACGTCCACTGCCCCACAGCGTGCAGTGCGTGTCGTAAGAGGCGACGGAGGAAAACAAATGAGGAGGTGCAGCAACGTCTTATTAATAACAATAAAAAATAAAAAACTGCGGTTGCCAACCCGCGTGCCAAGCGTGCCAACTACTGAGAATATCCCCCACCCCCCCTGTGAGAGGCACTCTATGGGGCAGGCTTATGTTCAGCTGTGGACTTTGATAGATTTTAAGGATAATGGTCTAGTAACGTTTAACAGCTTTTTGTTAATTCGTTTCGCATATAAACTTACATATTAAACAATGAAAAAAACCCAAAATAGCAGTATCATTTTTCAGATGATGAGAAAAAAGCATAGAATAAGGGGAAGGAATTGCATGACATAATTTCTCTTGCTCTCTCCTACCATCAGATTATCAAATACTCTGCTAGTTCCCTTTCTTGTTATTGTAATGCGTACAGCGACGATGTGTAATGCATGATATTCTAGCATCTGCCTTTCATTGCGGTTGATTATAATTTGAGTGTCATTAAGGTATGAGTGATGATTTTATCAAACTAAGCTTAATTAGCCAATGGGGGGAAGGTTCCGCCAGATGGAGCGACGAACTGGTAAGAGATACAGAAATTCGGCGGATGCCTGTAGCTCATCATCATCGTCTGATGATGGTGATGATAATACAAAATTATTGCGCTTTACCATCTCCGGATACATAACCACTACCGCCTGTCCAGAAGGGTAGGCAGAGACTACAGACTTCCATTTGACACGATCCTGACATATCCCTCTCGTCTCCTTTACAACCATATATCTACACACACACGCTTGTCGGTTAAAGGTACTCCTAATCTGGCTCATTTTCAATATATTACCAATTTGGTCTATAAATCTTCGACTAGGGCGTCTCTTGGCTTACGAGTATATTAGTTAAAAAATAATAATTTACAAAAACTAAATAATCGCAAATGCATAGAAACAATTTGTAGTAAGGTGACAAAATTCCCCAGCTATATTATAATTGCAGCACGAATTGCTCGGTTAAATCGGAGTAGGACCACGCACTCACAGAATACCAGCGTAAAATAGCAACTTAATGCTCCTGTATTTCCCATGATGAGTGTAGAGAAATGAAGACCCTTTTTACTGGAAATGAGGAATTCCATCTTAGTCCTCAGGGGTGACAACGTATCTACAAACATTTTGATCCACTTACCACCAGGTCTACCTGGTCGCACATTGTCCACTTTGTGCTCGTTTTTCACCCTAATATCATATTAAAAAAAGTCTTCGATACAAAAAGGAATGAAAATAAACGCTTAAAAATTAATAACTGCAAACACTTTGAATCAGTTTGAAGTAAGTGTATACATGGCAGCGCTAAAGCCACATTATGATTGCCATATTATGATTGATTGGATCGCCTCGACTAGGGAAGGATCACGCGCACAGAATGGAAGCGTGAAATAGCAGCAAAATGCTGCTGTGTTTCTCATGGTGAGGGACGGGAACTAGAGACTCCTTTTACTTTATTCTGAATAATATTATTTATGATGTAAATTATTTTATTATCCTTAATATAATGAGCGATATCCATTACTGTAATACGCGTAATAAATCTTAACTTGAACTTAAGTTCAAGCTCCTTAAAACTATAGTGCCTCATTTCTCGTTTGGAACTGTGTAAAACACGATTACCTGTAATATTACTGAGTTAACTTTGCATAAAATCAAAGCTCATATAAAAAGTCGAAAAAAGAAATGATAATATTAATTAGATAATAATTAAGATAAGAATGCATGGACGTTGTAAGTTTCTTTAGACCTTTTTAGGGATCCGTACACGAAGGATAAACAACGAGACCCTATTACTAAGCCTCCGCTGTTCATCAGTCCATCTGTCTGTATTTCAGCGGGTTGTATCTCATGATCCCTAATAGATAGTTGAATTTTTTACAGAATATGTATTTCTGTTGCCACTGCAACAATAAATAATAAATATTCATTGAAAATTAAAGGGGTTCTCTTACTAGAAGCGTGTTTTTTTTAACTTTTTTGCTTGATCTTAATAACGGCAACAAGTAGACGCTTGAAATGCTCACATAGTTTGTGTTGCTATATTCTACTTACATTGTACCTACCTATATAGTATTAAATCTTGTACGATGGTACGAAACCCTCCATGCGCGAGTCCGACTTGCACTTGGCTAGTTTTTTACTAATGTATATATTATTTTATAAAATAAAATTAAAACTGTTGGGAGATAATAGTCGAGTTTCTTACCACTTCTCGCAAGGTCTCCCGCAGAAGGGACTGTTGAAGCGATGGTGTAGTTTTAGGTCTTTCAAAAAGTTTTTTTAAAAACCAATTTTTACTCGACTGCCCCAAAATGAGGGTAATGTTTTTCAGAGTCTATGCATTATAGTATAGTAGTATACTAGTATGCAAACAAATACGTGTGTCTATTTCTCTGTATTCTAAACGACTTGATTGATTTTAACATATTGTCTTTCATAAGATTCGCCTTTGTTGTGGAAGTGACATAGGGTATAATATTTTTACTATTATATTAAACTTTTTTACGTAGTCAAGTTTTTTAAATACTGTTTAAACATTTAAGCCTGTGAATAAAAATATTGGCTAACAGGTAACGAAGCATTCAACCTAAGTCAGAGGTGACAATGGTTCTGCATTTTGAATCTATATATTCCTATCCGAAGATAGACGTAGCTGTCTATGGGGCTATGCGTTGACATCCCTGAGGACTAAGGTCTTAACAGAAACAGAAACAATTTTTTTTATTCAATATAGTTTATAAATAATATTTATTGAAAATCACTTTTGTTTAATTAGCACTGGTTCAGAGAAAACATCTGTCCTGGGAAGCACCAGAAAGACACCTAGCGGGGCTTTTAAAAAAAATTACAGCTTACATTCATGTATATTACATAAATAATAACACAAAACAAATTAGATATAATTTAATAGCGATCACCTTTCCCAGGAGTTATTATCATCCATAAATTCCCTAATACTTATTGTTGTGTAATCTATTTTTATTCAAACTCACTTTAATAAAGTTTTTGAACTTCATGCAACTCAATGTTTGTATATTTTCTGGGATTTTGTTGTAAAAGTGTATACATCGCTCCAAGAACGAATTACTGACGGCGGAGTCAAGTAACTTGTACTACTAGCTTGTGTCCGTAAAACTAATTTTATTTTTGTGTACGTATATTACATTTTCATAAATGTATTCAGAGGCCAAAATAATTTCCTTAAATTTTTGTCTGAGCGACTCCTTAGGTTTTAAATCATAGATATAAAAGAATCTAATGGCCCTCTTCTTTAAAACAAATATAATTACATCGCGTGTATAGCAAAATACCATATAATATTATGCTATGGAAGTAGCTAAAGTAAACTCGTCTAGCTGTTTCAACATTGGTAAGTCTGATTGGTAAGGGCGAGTAGTACGTTGTAACAGTTGGTATTTCTCGCCTAGCAAAAAATAATTTGGTATTAGAAATTCATTAATTATTCAAACCAAAATCATTAACTTAAGGTGAAGTGCCCTACTACATGGTAAGAATAACCATTACAGCTTATGTTGTCAGAAATGTTAGAAAATCTTTTTTACAACATATGCTACAGAAGTTTGCCTGCTAGTTTTGACATACGGGGGCCCCATTGAAGCTTCGCGTCAAGAGTGATTTCAAGAAAAATGGTGGTATCGACAGGACTCTGCTCCTTCCCATTTAAAATTACATTGTTCAAAATCTCGTTTCCAGTAAAATGGGGTATCAGTTCTCTACACTCACCATACGAAACACAACAGCATTAAGCTGCTATCTTACGCTGATATTCTGTGAGAGCGTGGTCTTTCCCAGATCGAACCGACCCATTCGTGCTACAATCGTAAGTTGCAGCGTGGCTCTGTCCCGTATGAATATACTTCCATTTATTATTTATTGTACTTATACTTCCATGCCATTCTTTGTCTTAGTTTTGTTAGAACTCGAAAGAGTTCCATCGAAAATCCCTCGGAAGCTTCTACTTTCTCATGAATTCATACAGGTATAAGGTCGTTACTTGAAATAACATCGTGTCTTTTCTAAGAGATGAAACAGGTACGATACGAAGAAGTGATCGCTTGAGTATATTGGCGCGCAAACATTGTGTATTATCGTTTGCTATTGAAACAGTAGGGTTATCCTCGATGCGTTTCACCAACGCAACATCAATCGAGAGGGAATCAAACCGTGTCGCCTATTAATTCATCCGGCGACGTATCGATTGCGTGTAGGGCCGCCGACGTCAAACAAATTGAAATCCTTTGGAAAAACTTAGTGTGGCATCCTATCGCAGTTCGTTAATACACGTACTAATTTTTTAAAACAATCGAAGCTAATTTTTTTCCCTTTATTATGGCAATTGTTACAAGGCCTTCAGCCAAAAAGAATACATAAATCAAACGCGAAACTTTCAACTTAGTGTAACTATTTTTTTCTCTCTTTGTTATGGCAATCGTTATATGGCCTTCAGTCAGGAAGAATGGCTAAATCAAACGTAATAACAATGTCCTCCAGACTGAATTTGGTTCAGGGCGGCCAATGTCAACGAAGACCTTCGACGCAAGACAGTAGTGCACTAGTGTGTGCACAAACACAGATGTAGGTACTCTCTATTTTCTCACTTATAGACGCGGGGGTGAAAAACTTCTAACTTCCGGTCTCTAGGCTGCTACTGATGCTACTGAAAACGTTGGTCTTATCATTTTGTTCCTGATTCTTCCTAATTCCTCAGACATGCAGGTTTCCTCACGATGTTTTCCTTCACCGCCAAGCACGTGGTAAATCAGCACTTAAAACTGCAATTAACAATTTCATTGGTGCCGGCGGGGATCAAACCCGGGTTACTCGCGTTCTGTTATATTTATAGCGAGCGTTAACCATCTGAGCTACCACGGCGTGAGAAAACCTGCATGTCTGAGGAATAAGAAAAAAATAATATTTCGAAGACATGTGAAGTCCGCCAACACGCATTATGGCTGCGCGGCGGACACTTCTTTGCTCTAAAACCCTCTCAGAAATGAGGTGAGGCCTGTGCTCAGCAGTGAGACGTATATAAGCTGTAACTTTACTTTACTTTTTTTTCTTCCTAATATTAACTTATTCATTTAATAGTTGAAAAGAGATATTTATAGACTTAAAGTAAATTTCCTAATAAAAAATTTATACTTATATTTATTTCAGTTTTATGTTTAGTTCCTAAAATATAACACGTGGTATATATCCACGCTGCAGCACTATTATGGTTGTAGCACGAATGGGTCGTCTCTACCGGGGAAGAACCACGCTCTCACAGAATACCAGCGTGAAATAGCAACTTAGTGCTGCTGTGTTTCATAGTAACTATTTCATAGTCTTAGGTATACGAGGCATTCATTCTTAGTCCTCAACGGTGACAACACATCTGCATTTTGATTGTTAATCGATGATACATTTGATGTCTGTGGACTGTGGCCCGTTTATCACTCTTATTTACGTGGTAGAGCCATGCTGCAGCTATATTGTGATTGCAGCACGAATGGTTCGGCTCGACCGTGGTAGGACCCCGCTCTCACAGAATACCAGCGTAAAATAACAGCTTAATACTGCTGTGTTTCGTACGGTGAGTGTAGATAACCCTTTTTACTGGATACTAGGCATTCCATCTCAGTCCCCAAAGGCTAGCAACACATGTGCATTTTGATTGTTAATTGAAGATAAATGTAGATGTCTATGGGCCACAGTATCCACTTACCATCACATGGACTGTGTGCTCGTTTGTCACCCTTATTCTAAAAAATTCTATCAAAATAAGAGAAAAAATAAACTTGAATGACCAGACAGACTAGACAAAAAATATTTATACCTAGTATACTTACGAAATATCCCTCATAAATCCCCGTATTATTTCTGGACAGAGTTGTGGCAGCCCTACGCACATCCCGCTGAGTCCTTCTCCCCGGGGCAGGGATCGATCACCCCGTAATTAACCGTTTGTTAGTCGATACATTTGTGTTATTCCACTCACACACGTACACGCTATGTGTATATATGGATTATGTTACACAGTTTATTTTGGTAATATAAATGCTACATATTGCGACGACTGTATGCGAAACGATAATTAATATTATAGTTTTGCTAATTATATCGGCATCTGTTAGACATTAATATACAACGTGGTAGAGCCATGTACAGCTCTACGTGGTAGAGAGAGTTCGGTTCGACCGGGGAAGGACCACGCTCTCACAGAATACCAGCTTAAAATAGCGGCTCCACGCTGCTGTGTTTCGTATGGTGCGTGTATAGAACCGGAGACCCATTTTACTGGAAAGTAGAAACGAGGCGTTCCATCTTAGTCCTCACGGGTGACAACGCATCTGCATTTTGATTTGTAGTTGATGATAGATGTAGATGTCTATGGGCCACAGCAACCATCAAGTGGACTGTGTGCTCATTTGTCACCCTTAACCCATAAAAACAAATTACAATATTATTTGTCCGGGACTTAGGTCTGGGACTTAGGTCCCATGTTTATATGAGAGTTAATAAAAAAGAATATGTAACATGTCTAACACGTCGTGAAAGGCGACTAATGGGATTATGATTGTATTGGCGAAGGGGTCGCCAGCTATAACTTCTTTTACAATTTTCCATCTATATCCTTTTTGATTAAACGCAGCCCGAGTGGCGTAATGCTTTTCGGACTCTGCCTACCCCCTCGGGGATTACAGGCGTAACGTATATGTATGTAATAGTAATAATTGATGAGGAGACGAGCCTCAAAAAGTAGTAAATTTTGCAACAGACCTCTACTTGTTGGACCTATGTCTCCGCGTATGACTAATAAATGACCTCATCCACATGGGCCTCATTAGACCCGAAAATTTGAGAAAGAGTATTTATAATAATAGTTTCTTTATTGAAATTACTTCAGTTCAGTTTACATATTATATTAGTTAAAATGATAAGCTATGCTGGCCATACATGGCTCTAGCACGAAAGGGACGGCTCGAACGGGGTAGGACTAAACTCTCACATAATATCAGTGTGAAAAAGCAGATTAATGCTGCTGTGTATCGTATGGTGAGTGTAGAGAACCGGAGACCCTTTTTTACTGCTAAAGAGGCATTCCATCTTAGTCCTCATAGGTGACAACGTATCTGCATTTTCATTAATTAATCGATGATACGAGGGTGGATTGAAAAGTACTCGGCCTAACCAAGAAAATAAACACATACTAAATCAGTTATATTTTTATTTTTCTACATAATCACCATCAAGTTCAATACACTTTTGCCACCTCCCCATCCAAGCATTTAGACCGTTGAAAAAAAATGATTCTTCCTTAGAGTCAAAATATGCGTCTACAGCTGCTTTGACCTCGTCGTTTGTCGAAAATCTTTGACCTCCCAAGTGCTTTTTTAGGTTAGGGAACAGAAAGGAGTCTGATGGTGCCAGATCAGGTGAATACGGCGGATGCGGTAACAGTTCAAAGCCACAGTTGTGAATTTCAGCCATTGACTGTACTGACGTGTGAACACGGGCGTTATCTTGATGAAACAGGACTTTTCTTCTGAGCATTCCTCGACGTTTTTCTTTTATTTCCTCTCGTAAACGACGTAGTAAGGTGCAGTAGTAATCAGAGTTTATAGTCTGACCCCTTTCAAGATAATCAATCATAATCACACCTTTCGAGTCCCAGAATAATGAAGCCATCATCTTATTTGCCGACAAAATCGACTTAGCCTTTTTAGGGGTGGTGAACAAGGTCTTCTCCACTGTTTTGATTGTTGTTTTGTTTCCGGTGTACAGTAATGAACCCATGTTTCGTCCATAGTAACAAAACGATTCAAAAAATCATCTGCATCGGCTTCAAATAACTCCAAACAGTCGCGTGAAATAGTCAATCGCGTCCTTTTTTGTTCAACTGAAAGCAGTCGCGGAACCCACCTCGCAGACACCTTGTGGAAACCCAACTCGTTGACAATGATGTTTTGAGTTCGTTCATAAGAGATGCCTATAATCTCGGCTATCTCTCTAATTTTTAATCTGCGGTCTCCCATTATTAAATCAAGTACTTTTTTTAATATTTTCGTCAGTAGTTGACGTCGAAGGCCTTCCAGAGCGGGGTTCATCTTTCACACTCTCTCTACCACGCTTAAATTCTGCTATCCATTTTTTGACGGATGAATATGACAGAGCACAATCGCCTAATGTACTGACCATGTTATCGTGGATGGTTTTTGATGATAGCCCCTTCTTATGAAGGTACTTAATGACGGCACGCTGCTCGATTTGCTCCATTCGCGGAAATTATGTCCGATTACTTTGTTAATAAATTTATAAAATCACAACTAATTATCGCACACGTTTCGAACTTCACACAATAAACTAGTCTGAACTGAACTAAATAATGTGGGTAGATTTGATTTTTAGAATTGAATGGATCTGTGTTAGGCCGAGTACTTTTCAATCCACCCTCGTAGATCTAGATGTGTATGTGCCGTAGCATCTACTTACCATCAAGTGGATTAGGTGCTCGTTTGTGACGCTTATTATAAAAGAAATTTTTTTAGTGTCTAAATTCCTCATTTATGATTAGATCGCCCTTTATGCAATTTACATTATTAATGGCGAATTCTAAAAAGTGACTAACATACATTATACATTTTTCAGGTAAAAATCTGGTTCCAAAATCGAAGAACAAAGTGGAAAAAGAAAGACAACGTCTCCAACGCGGAAGTGGCTGAAATAAAGCAGCAGAACAAACCCAGTTCCGAGGAGAAGAAGACGGAAGATGTCAAGGAAGATCCCCTCGCGTTGGATATGTCCAAAAAGAACTGCAATAAGATATTAAGCGAGAAAATTAGGAATACAAAGCAGACGGTCCAAAACGCAGTACCAAAGCCAAGAAGAGTGGAGAAGGGAGTAGTACTAGAGACAATATGTGACGCTAATGATATTGAGAGTAGAATTTCAATAACGAAGATCACGAACAAGCTATCTAGTACTGATATAGCGGGGGAAGCTGGGAAGGTTTCAGTGAAGAGCTTCAGTCCGGAAGAAGTGAAAGACTTGAAATTCGACAGCTTAAGTAGGGATGTCGAAATGTGAATTGTAAGTTAATATAGGATAATAGTGCTGAGAGATCTCTTGTTATGTTTATCTTACCAAAGACTTCTATGTATACCACTATAGCGAACAAAAACAGTATCAATGAATATAGCGCGGACGCTGGCGGTTAGCTGGCATGGTATATATGCCACCCAGTTGTATTTTCATTTACAACAGCTACTTTTTTAGGCAATTACGAAATAAAGCTACGTACTTGTCTGAAATAAACCTCAAATAAAGTTAACAAAGTGCATACATAAATAATTAAACAAAATCAGTGTTAGATTGTCGAAAACAGCGCTCGCGGTTTACTTAACAAAGAACTAGTATTTTAGCCCGCTCGCTGTCAACTAAACAAGTTACGGGGAATCAACCGTAAATTCGTGCGCAATTTATTAAGACCGCGAAGCCTGACTAGGAGTATATTATACATAGAAGTCAGTTCAATACTGCATATTAATATTATGTTGTTTTCAGTTTAAACGCCTAAGGCCCGGTGTACATTTTGAGCAATGGCAATTCCGAGTGCCAAAATGCAACTGACAAATGACAAGTGCTTAGTGCGTGTAAACAGGCAGTGACAAGTGATAAGTATGAAAAAAATACGCACTAAGCACAGTCAGTTGTCACTCGCACTTGTCACTTCTAAAAATGTGTACCGGGTCTAAATGAGCATTACAAAAAGTTTAGAACAAAGTGAAAATTATAACTTTTGTTTAATTTCGAAAGACGTAAAATTGGAGCTTAGTTATAGTAACTGAGATAAATAATTTAGTATTTTAAGGGTATTTAATTATTAAAAAATTTACCATGTTAAACTAAAATCTACAGTCGGACAACCACGTATACGATAAGCAACACATATTACACCATCCGTCCGACGTTGAACATTAGACTAATCATTGTAACAATGTTTACTTTGTGTACTACCTTTTTTATTTGTACAATTTTATAAATTTTTACGAATTTAAGCAAAGAGAAATAAACATGGCCGCTACTCAAATTTAAAATTATTGTATATATTATGTATTTTTTATGTTAATATAAAATATTTTTCCTTTGTGTTAATTTGAAGAGTGTTAATGAAAGGAGTCCAACAATGCGTTTTATGTTTACTAACAAAGATTTTAAAGTTTCTTTACTTCGTTTAAAAATATTGTAATTACTTGCCTTCTTATTGTATTAAAAGGATTCACTATTTTCTGTGGAATTCACGTAAAATATGGAACTATTATTTTATTTTATAGTATGTAATTTTATAGAATATATAGGAGAAATTCAAAATCAGTTTATGATTTGGTAATGTCTTAAAGACATTATAAAACGTTTTTTGAATTATTAGAATCTGTATCTCTAAACCACTCTAAACATTTTTTTTATATTAATCCGGTTCGAATTTTGAATTTTGTTTAAATGTTACAATATTATGTTTTTGTAACTAAATTTTACGATGTCATACTGTCCCTTTTCATACACATTTTAAAAAATCATTTGTTCTTTATGTGTAATAGAATGTATGGTAATAATTTTCATATGTATAATATAGTGTATATTATACATATGAAAATTATACGCAAGTTCTTATAATTTGTTGTCATCACTTCTTTACTAAATGTTATAAAATAAATATATGGTACCTTTACCGGCTAAATATAGCACATTAGAAGAAAATTGTATTTTTTTGTAATAATGATATGTACTGTCATGCATTTGTTATGACAAAAGAACTTTCTAGTGTAATGCATCACGGTTAAAAATGATTGTCGACCTTCTACAAATCAAAACGAAATTTAATAATAAGGTTTCCTGATGCACAGTTTGATTTGCTTTTAAATATTATCTTATCAAGAATATAGAGGTCAATATCTAATTCAAGCGAGAAACTCTTAAGAAATGTGGTTGAAAACCTTACATTGAAGTAGTATTTGCAGTACATTGAGTGAGCATTTCAGTGTGTGCGGCGGAACTTAATTAAAATAACTTAATCCCTTCCTCTTTCTTCCACCATCGGACAACCAGACCACACGTTCAGCCAGTCTCCACCGTTTCGTTGTTGACATACTACCCATTCGAACCAAATGGTTTTCTATATCATCATGCTTACAGGAAAGGAGTGGAATAAGTTGCCAGTATCTGTTTTTAGTGGAGTCGTGGTGGCTCAAAGCCTAAGCCAAAAATTTAAAAAAAAAATTGTAAATATTACAGTACGCGAGCAAGTCGTGTTCGTGCTGGCTGAGAATAACAAAAATATTACTTCAATGGTACCATATAGAAATTGTACAGCTTTCTACATGGAACATTCGAGAACGTCGTTAAAACTTATCTTCAAAGTATGTCGAATGGAGATATCACCGTGTGTAGATGTTAAATATCTCATATATTTTGTGCAATAATCGCCCTACTGAAATAGTTTTATAAGTACTTATTTAGATTGATCTAACTATTATAATTACGTTTATTGCTTGCTCTCTCTTATACTATCTACTTGAAAATTATTTATATATGATACAGGAATGTACGAAATGCTTTATACGTTTGTAATAATTAAGTGTTTACGTTTTGTTTGTTCACAAAATACTTTTATACAACTTTACTCCACTGACGGCCGGACAGCGGGCTCTTTAGCATACTAGAGTGGAATAAGTTAATTCCGCTAAATCTATTTCAAGTTTTGGAACTCTACACCTTCGCATAATAATTTTCTTAAATAAAATACTTAGTTATAACTATGTCTTAACGTCTAAAAGAGTTTCTGAATTATTAGCGTGTTACACGGACACCGATAAAAAAAAAATTAACAACAAAGGCGCGTAACAATCCTGTCATATTTAACATGCTTAGATCAAAATAACACAATACAATTATAGACGGAGCTTTGAATACATTTCAGTTGAAGTCGCAACCACGCTCAACTTCTTGACTCACATCTTCCTTTCTATTTTTATTAGCCTGTAAACGCTCACTGCACTTACTTTGCACTTACTTCGCACTTACTTTGCCCCTAAAATCACTTTTTTGTTTGAAAACAATTTTAGATGCACGTGAGTGCGTGTTATTATAGTAAGTTGAGCATGGTTTTGGCTTGATTTTTACGTCTCTTGAAATGTAGTCACGCAACGCTCGGTCTTTCCTGCCACATGTATCAAAATGAAAATGACCAACAGCAGTAAATATTGAATTGTCAATCTACCTATTGTACCTAAGATCTAAGTATTATATTTTTGGCGGGAAATATATAAAAAATTATCTTGTATATTCTGTGATGATTTATATTTTTATAATTCAGAAACTATCTCAGTTAAATTTAAATATCACATGTTTTCTGGCTATTCAAACTAATGTATACGAAACACTGTGAATTATAAATAGAAATTACTTCTTTCTAAAATTGTATAAAATTAAGGAAAATCTTTAGCGAATAAATCCCTCGTACAAATCAATTGTGAAGTCAGTAACATAAGTATAGCTAAGTTTCTACAAATGGAAAGCCAGTGCACACGTTTTGAGACAGCAGCATATAATGCGCGTGTGAAAGGCTTTCAGAATAAGAATCTAAAACTCTGCTTTAATCATTTTGTAGCTTAATTTTTAAATACTTAAACGCTATTAAATTTTAAGATGCAGTTAAGTCTCGTGCGCTCTCTATCACTTTAAGTCAAAATGAATGTTACCCCACGATACTTAAAGATGAGTAGCGTTTGAGTATTTGGCTATAAGTCTTTGAATATCAGTCGCTCAATATTCAGAGATCATACAGATTGTATAAATTTTGTGTAAAATTTTTCATGTTTTCGATTGCTTCCTATAGGCGTAAGTACAAATTGTAAATTTTTCTGTTAGAGCGAAAAACAAAAATAGTTTTAGAGGTTTTCAAGAGCGTATTGATACTGATGTAGAGTTAGATGAATAGAGTAAACGGAATGAAAAATAAATAGTTTTCCATATACCCATTTTCTTTTTAATTTTTATTTTCAAATAGCGACCCACCCCCCCTCCCGCCCCAGCTTAGCCTTAGCTTAGCCTTTAAACATTTGTGAGGCTGTAAGGGGGGGATATATGTGGTTCACTTTTAGTTCTTTTTAAACTGGTTATTTTCGTACGCTGCGTCAATCCAAGCCAAGTCTGCATGTCTACGGGAGAATGCTAGTCGATAGTATGCCAACTCTGGATAATAGGTTACCTCCAGTTTTATTTACCCATGCCGCAGTGAACGCAGGGCTTTGCTGCGGTCGACTCTATAAGACTATAGCGTCTCGTGGGAATAATATGATTACTAGATCTAAAAGAAAAAAAAACGTACTCATATAGACTACACTATGACACTAGACATATATACAGAAAAAACCAAATTGGCAAGTCAGATTAGAAAGGAAAATCGAAAATGCAAGAGCACACATAGGCAGACTGACACATTACGTTAATGGTAACAGAAGTAAAATAAAGTTACTACTTTATTCTTAGTTACTTAATTTTTAGTTATTTCTTTTACTGGAGCTACTGCTCCGGTAGAAGAAATAAAGAGAAAATACCAAATTTACGCACAACACTAAAACTCGAATACAGAACTAGAACACTTTTTGCACACTTTAAAACAAAAATTAAACGCAGCATCCAGTAGACCTAAAAGATACCTAAAAGATAACATGCACGAACCGCAAGGTACAAAACACAAAATTTATCAACAATGAAAAATTATTTTATAGAAACTTTACATCTACAACAAAACCTGGAGACATCGTCCGAAACACTGCGAGGATTTCGGGTCAACATTTGGTAAAATCCAGTATCTCATAATAATCATGAAGGTCAACGAGGCAACACCAGAAATCCTTAAACGGAAATTGAATGTTTACCAATGGATACATTTATGGACGTCATCAAACGTACACACTGGAAGTCATCAGGCAATATTCGCAACTACTGATATAAGAAATTCACCAGCATAATATATCCATTCAAACATTACCACTTAAACAAATTCATCCAATCATTACATTTAC